GTAATGGGTCTCCGATTTTGGCTGAATCGAGCAATGGTTTTGGATCTTTTTGTTTTGTATAATCAATACTATGTTTATACAATCCCCAAGTCGATCTCGTTGAAACCGATAGACAAAACGAGCAAAAAAAAGCCAGCATAGGCCTATACGCCGTTTACTTACGTTGTTTTCAGCCACTAGTAATGGGTCTCGATTTGCTAATCGCGCAATAGTTTTGGATCTTTTTGTTTTGATATAATCAATACTATGTTTATACAGCACAGATCGATCTCGTGTGAAACCTGTATGGCAAAACGAGTAGAAACACCCATCGTGCCCTATACGCCGTTTTACTCAGTTTTTTAGCCTAGAATTGGTCGCGATTTTGGCTGAATCGAGCACTAGTTTTTGGATCTTTTTGTTTTGTATAATCAATACTATGTTTATCAGCCACAGAATCGGATTTCGTTGAGAAACCTGATGACAAAACGAGCAAACGCCGCATAGGTCCTATACGCCGTTTTACTCAGTTTTTTTCTGCCACCAGTAATGGGTCTCTATTTTGGCTGAATCGAGCACTAGTTTTTGGCTCGTTTGTTTTTGATATATCAATACTATTTTTATACAGCCAACGAGTCGTATCTCGTTGAACCTGATGACAAAACGAGCAAAAGCCGCATAGGGCCTATACGCCCGTTTACTCCGTTTTTTCAGCCACTAGTAATGGGTCCTCTATTTTTGGCTGAATCGAGCACTAGTTTTGGATCTTTTGTTTTTGATATAAGCATATACTATGTTTAAGAGCCAACAGAAGAAGTCGATCTCGTTGAAAACCTGATGACAAAACGAGCAGAAAGCCCGCAAGGGCCGATACCCGTTTTACTCAGTTTTTTCACCACTATAATGGGTCTCGTTTTGGCTGAATCGAGCAATAGAATTAGATCTTGTTGGTTTTTGATATATCATACTATGGTTTATACAGCCACAGAGTCGATCTCTTGAAACATGCTGACAAAACGAGCAAAAGCCGCATAGTCCTATAACGCCGTTTTACCAAGTTTTATTTCACCAGTATTAATGGTTTCTCGATTTTGGCTGAACGAGCCTATTTTGAGCTTTGGTCTCTTTTTGGGATAATCAATATATGTTTAAGAGCCAACAGAGTCGATCTCATTGAAAACCTGATGAAAAACGAGCAGAAAGCCGCATAGGGCCCTATACGCCGTATTTACTCATGTTGGGTTTTCCTCCCTAGTAATGGTCTCGATTTTGGCCGCATCGAGCAATAGTTTTTTTGGATCTTTTTGTTTTTGTTATGATCAATACTATGTTTATACTTCCAACAGAATCGATCTCGTTGAAAACCGTGAGTGGCAAAACAGTAGATAACACCCATATGGCCTATAACGCCGTTTTACTCGTTTTTTCATCCAGAGTAATGGTTCTCGATTTTTTGGCTGCTCAGCACTATTTTGGATCTTTTGGTTTTTGATATAATCATACTATGTTATATACAGCCAACAGCATCGATCTCGGTTGAAAACCTTGCTGACAACCGAGCAGAATCCCGCATAGGTCATATACTCCGTTTTACCTCATTTTTTTTCTGCCACAAGTAATGGGTCTCTATTTTGCTGAATGGCACTAGTTTTGGATCTTTTTGTTTTTTGATATACTCAATCACTATGTTATTATAACAGACAACAGAGTCGATCTCGTTGAAAACCGATGACAAACGACAGAAAGCACGCATAGGGCCTTCGCCGTTTTACTCAGTTTTTTTCAGCCACTAGTAATGTTCTCGATTTTGGCTGAATCGAGCAATAGTTTGTGGATCTTTTTGTTTTATATAATCAACTATGTTTATACAGCCAACAGAGTCGTCCAAGAACTCTTGAAAACCTATGACCAAACGATCAGAAAGCGGCATAGGGCCTATCCGTGTTCTTTACTCAGTTTTTCACCACTAGTACTGGTTCTCGATTTTTTTGCTGAATCGAGCATAGTGTTTGGATCCTTTTTTTGTTTTTGATATAATCAATACTATGTTTTATATCAGCCACAGAATCTGATCTCGTTGAAAACTGATGGCAAAACGAGTAGAACCACCATAGGGCCTAAGACCCGTTTTTAACTCAGTTTTTTTCAGCCATATAATGGGTCTCGATTTTGGCTGAATCGAGGCACTATTATTGATCTTTTTGTTTTTGATTATAATCATACTATGTTATACAGCCAACAGAATCGATCTCGGTTGAAAAACCTGATACAAAACGGCAGAAGCCGCAGAGGTCCCTATACGCCGTTTTACTCATTTTTCTGCCACCAGTAATGGGTCTCTATTTTGGCTGAATCGAGCACTAGTTTTGGATCTTTTGTTTTTGATATAATCAATACGATGTTTTATACAGCCAACACATCGACTCGTGAAAACCTGATGACAAAATACGAGCAGAAGCGCATAGGGCCTATACTCCGTTTTACTCTTTTTTTCAGCCACTAGTAATGTGTCCTCCTTTTTGGCTTAAGCGAGCACTAGTTTTTGGATCTTTTGTTTTTGATATAATCATCTATGTTTAGAGAGCCAACAGAGTCGATCTCGTTGACAACCTGATGAACACAACGGAGCAGAAAGCCGCATAGGGCCATAAAAAAGAAAAGAAAAAAGTGACAAAAAAAAAAAAATATACTCACTGTCAGGCACTATCGAAGTAATTGCTAGAAAAACCAATTCCGACTTGTGCGTTCTCCAGAGTCAACCACCACCTGCAATAGTATATGGTGCTCTCTTTCTTGATAGTGCCACCACAATGACCTCATACTTTCCCATCAAAAGCAATCATCAACAGCCAATACCTTTCTCATGTTTACAAAACCCCTTATAGCAGCACCGTAAGCAACAAAAAAAATATTTAAACCTCATATTGTTGTCCCACTTCAAAGCCGTCTTGCTACCCTGGTTTGTCAACTCAAGCATAGAACGGTATGCTTCTACTACTGCGTACCTATGCTCTTGCGTGCCTTTCACAAATCTTGTGCATGTTGTCTCCCTTTCTAGCATTTCCAGTAACTAACATCGCTTCCCAACTCTGTGAGCACAAGTCTTTGAATGTCCTTAGAAGATGGACATTTCCTTTCAACAAACTGACTTTTGACAAATTGTCCAATAACATCAGCAGAGGCTTGTTGATGCTCGCTTGAAATATGTCTCAACCCACATGTGTGCTCACGAGTATATGTGCTAACAATAAATTTTTCGGACTCCACCAACCTTCACAATAAACCTGCCACTTGCACTTTCAGTCATGATATGCAACCGTCACTACTGATGAATTAAACTTTTTGGTGATGAATTCAAAATTACCTCTTACGGTAACAAGTTTTAGCTTCCTCACTACTTCCTCCTTGTTGTCAAATAAATAACCTACGCATAAGTCTGATCCATCAATAAAAACGTGAGGTGATTCACTACTACCCACAGTTGCCACCTCTGAACCTATATAAATGACCATATTGTTCTCTTCCTCACAAACTATACCTTCTGCATAATCTGTATTTATAGGAATCATTGTATCTGCGGAAACATGTATGGGTTCCTCCTCGTCCACATTGTAGGAATCAACCTCTTCTACAATGTCCCCCTCACCACCCAAGTCACCGTCTAATCTTGATTTTTCAACAAAGAAATCAATGCCCTTGTAGTTAAAATTAAAACCTGCATTCTCCCCACCCAAATCACCGCTTACTCTTGAACCAACTTCCAAAGCTTTATCCACAACCGAAACCGTTAAAATCAGCCTCGAATCATTATCGCCCACATCAAGCATAAATAACTTCACATGTTTATCAGACATTAATACAATAGGGGGTACCTTAAAATTTGCAGGAGCTCTAGTTAAAACATTCTTCACAACTATATCACTATGTGAGCAACTCAACCCACCTCTTCTAATGATTTCTTCAAACAACTCATCAAAACTAACTTCTGTACTCACAGCAATCGCTTTAACTTGTTCGCTCTTCCCAATCCACTTCCAGCAACTTTCTTCCTCCACCCACTCACCAAAATATTCAACACCCAAAACCACTTGTCCCATGTCTAATAATAGCCAAGTACCTATAATGCAAGAAAACAAAAATTATTAACCGATATATTAAGGGTTAACAGATTTTAAAAAGCATCTTCAAAGTCACTTAATCTATGTGGTGTATTGTTTAAGCGATCTTGTATAAATAAGTTTGATCATTTAAGCGATCTTATGTCATATACTTGATCACTTAAGTGATCTGCCATCTGCTGCATTATACTAGATATATCAGATCGCTTAAGCGATTCACAAGATTACTTAAGTGATCCATCAGATCTAAAACACATTTTCAGTCATCTCCACTTACAATCGGTGCTACCACCCCCAGCTACCCACAATGCAAGAAAATATTTAACAAAATTCACTCATTTGAACTTGCATTATATCAAACACAATCCAACAACCTAAATAAACAACTAAATCAAAATCATAACCTAAACCTAATCCATCATTAAATCTTTGTAAATCGAAATTTAAAATGTAAAGAGGAGATATACATACCTGAACGAAATGTTAGGATGAGAAGGAGACGGATCTTTGGCGAATAAGATGTTAATGAAAGAGGAAGAAAAAAGTGTTAATGGCAGAGGAAGAAGAAGATGTAGACGAAGATGTAGATGAAGCTTAGAAGAAACATCAATAGCAGGAGGTGCGTTAATGGCAAGAGGAAGAAGAAGAATGTGTTTGGGTTTGTTTGCAAGAATTTTGGCTTTTTGGAAAGATATTATAATTTTTAAAAGATTACACAGTACTTAATTAATCCTAATTAACCATTAATTATGTTTAATTAACCTTGGTCGATGAAAAATATGTTGAAAATGCAGCACGCCTGAATGGTGCGAAGGGTAAGAAAGTCTTTTTCAGCTCAAAATTTTCATAACTTGCGGGGTATATATGGCTTTATGTAGAGTCATTTGTCATTTGTGAAACAAAACCCTTGCCTTTTGTCTTTCCCAGTTCTAGGGTTTTTAGTGGAGTCAGTGAGGTATTTGCAGGCAAAAGAAGAGAGTGAAATGGCAGCAACAACAATGTGCAACAGGGTATTTGGAGGATGCAGGGCACTGATGGCAGCAGCCAAGTCATCTTCATCAGCAGCAGCCAAGTCATCTCCGTCAGCAGCAGCCAAGTCATCTCCGTCAGCAGCAGCCAAGTCATCTCCGTCAGCAGCAGCTGTTGGCTCGGAGAAACCCAAAAAGGGGATTATGAAACCGGTTTCTGTATCTCCACAACTAGGAAGGTTTATTGGAGCCAACGAAGCTTCTCGTGTTGATGTTGTCAAGAAAGTCTGGCAACATGTCAAACTCCACAACCTCCAGGTGCTTCCTAAGTTTTCGCCTTTATCAAATATTTTGATCATACATTGCTACATCATTTGCTGTTTCGCTTGTTTAGCATGTTATATAATAACCAAGTTGAGTTTTCGTCCACTGAAGTTTGTTGAATAAATAAAGGAACTCTTTTTTGGAATGTTAAAAAGCAGGATTCTTGAGAAAATATATGAACTTTTTTTTTTATGGTGATTTAGAGATCTAAAGCTGAAGAGTAAAAACTCAATGCTTAGTTCAAAAGTAAAAGAATAATAAAATTTATGGTCAATGGAGCCGGGTTGCTTAATAATTGTTTTCCCTCAATGATAAGGCTAGTACTTGTAATGTTTTTTTTTGTTTTTTTTTAAGAAAGATTTTTTTCTTTTATTTAATGCTTGGTTATAGTCAGAACACCATGTAGAGTATAAGTATATAGCTAATAGTTCTTAATGATCATAGTTGTCTTTCTTTTCCCGTGGTGGGAATCTAAAAATCCTTGGTGAGGTTATTTAATCAGTCTATCGAATGTGCATGTTTTATAGTTGTTCTTCATTCCACAACTATCTTAAGGCAAATAATAAAGTGCTAATTATATATTGAAATATAAAATTAACAATGAAGAGGGATTCATACCTTGTCCTTCTTGTTTTTAAAATTTCCCCTGAACATTAACTTTGGTCAGTTATATTTCTCAAGACTGTAGCAAGACATATAGGATTTAAACCTTATATTAACTTTAGAGGGGATCCTTTTAATTTATGTTTGTGCCTAGGGCCCAGACCATGGTTTAACCAAATAAGTTGGGGAATCTATCATTATATTTTAACTTCCCCTTCTATGGTTATGGTCCTAATATTTCTTTTCTTTGCTAACCAACAATTGTGGATAAAACAAGTGGTTTGAGTTAATGTTATTGTTGAAGTTGACTCTCCCATGTTTTGACCGATTGTGTGTGATATTTTAGGATCTAACAATCTATTATAATCAAAATTTATATGAAAAAAGAACGCAGTTTTTACACAATCATGAAATTAGGAAACTAGCATGCCTACCATTTTTGTTTTGTCATTTGTAATGTTTTGTAGAATGCTGTACATGACATTATGCTCTGATGTTTTGTAGAATCCTGCAAATAAGAGGGAGATTCGTTGTGATGAGAAATTGAAGAGTATTTTCAACGGAAGAGACACCGTTGGCTTCCTGGAGATTGCCAAATTGCTATCCCAGCATTTTGTGAAATCTGCCTGATGCTGTTCTTTCAAATCAGTTTATCTGGGTTGTGGTTTGGTTTTGGATGTACCCTGTAGTTTAGACTTATGAACCCTTAAACTTAAATCGTAGATTTAGCACAAGGCCAGAAACCCATGTTCATTCAGCTATTGAGATGTGATACGGAAAAGGTTTCAAATAGATGTGTCAAGACATCTGATTTTCACTATGGTAGTATCTTGGGTTTGGTTACAGTGAAGATGGATGTAATTTGAACGATTAGTTTCTAAACTGGTTATGAATTGTTAGATTCATTTTCATATTGTGCTTCTTTCTGCTTTAAGTTTGATATAAAATGGTGTTTATATGCATGTATGCTTCAAACCAGGATTGATAACCAGCACCATTAAAAGAAGAAGAAAAAATGCTTACCGAAGGGAAGAAGACTAGATGCAAGACATCTGTTTTAACTTGATTTGTTTATATAAATGTTACTAATATTTGTGAAATTGCAGAAAAAGGGGAATCTTGAATGATTCACAAGAACAGAGACCATTGCATTTTCTACAAAGAATTTCTGTGATATCAAAGCTATCGAAATTTCAATTATAATTATATAATCTCATTGGTAAGCCAAGATATTTAGAAGTGGAACGACAGATCTCTTAATAATATATGGTGTAGACTACTTGTCGGTTTTAGTTTTTACACTTAAATTACCAGATAACCTATGAATATGTGGGCTCGTGGAGTTAGTAAAGTTTTCCGTAGAGTACGGGTAGGCCCATTAGGGAAGTGGCGTGTCATCTAGACCGTCCATCTATCTCTGTTAGCTTATCCTCGTATGATCATGCAAGGGTTCTGTTTGGTTTTCACCTCCCAAAATAAAAAATTAAATAAATAACTAAAATTCCGGCCACCACCACCAGCATCGTCCGATCAGATTCTGGTTTCCTCCGTCTCCGATCTTCCATCCATGACGTTGTCAGACGATGAAGACGCGTCCTTAGCTGAGTTTCTCGAATCTGAAGTCCTCTGTGAAGCCTACGATGCCGACGCCGATACCGAGGTTCTACTCGTTTTAGCAATAACAATATCGTTTTCTCTTATACCATATTAATGCTTTGTTTGTAAAATAGAAAGAGAGGAAATTGAAGGAGGATGAAGAAGAGCCAAAGAAGAAGAAATTGCGTGTAGAGGAAGGTTCAAGCTCAGGTTCAGGTGCAGATCCGGCGAGAATTGCGAGTGGAATTTTGAGCAAGATTCCTCCCGAACTATTTCCCCACATACTCAAATTTCTCTCTTCTGAGGTTGTATATATCAAAAAATTTGAGGTTGATTTTGATCATTTTTCAGAACGTTGTCTTTTTTATCTTTAGAATGTAAAAGTTGTGTTTTTTTCTTATGGCAGGACCTTGTATCGTGTTCACTGGTTTGTAGATTCCTTAATTATGCTGCTTCTGATGAGTCTCTGTGGCGTCGCCTGTGAGTTTCAGTTGATTTTCTGCGTATTCATGCTTTGTATGTAAAGTGAAGATGTGGTCATGATTAAATCCGTGCTTATTTTTGTTTTTGTTTGGGCAGATACTGTATGAGATGGGGTCTGTTGCCGCCTAATAAGAGTTTGCGAGTTTGTGCTTGGAAAAAGCTTTACATTCAGGTTTCTTTTCTTTTTTATTTTACTCTATTTTTATTATTCTGTTGTAAGTTAGCATAAGGATTATGAATCATTGCACTTCAAGATTGGTTATTTGCATAAAAGTTTATAAGGGCAAACATGTTCATATTGGTGTCTGCATATAAGAAGAAATGTGCCATTTTTTAAACTTATGAAGTGCTCTTACTAGTAGGGAAATGTGATTTTTATGGAAGTACTATAAATTATTCCTTTATTTTTCTTAATGGTAAGAGTTGAGCTCTAAACTTTGTTATTGTGGTTACATCCTAACCAGTTTTACTAAAAGGGAACATCTATAGTTTTGGGCTTAGATTTCCTTGACATTACATTTCTAAGTGTGTTTGGAAGTTGGATTTTTTTTTTTCAAGATATTCTTGGCTGGTCTATACCACATTGAATTCTTCATTGAAGATTAAAAAATTGTTAAAGCTGTGTAGACATTAGTCTTTGAGCAAACAATTCTTCATGTTGCAGCGAGATGAGGAAGATATGGTTGAATTTGTTAGAAATTGCTCAGCTGAGTTTAAGGAGTACTATATGCAAATGCAAGTAGCAAAGAGAAGTCAAGCACCTCTTCCTTCACAGGTAACATGTGATACTATGGCTTGAGCATCAACATTCTTTCTCATCAAAATTAAGTTGATAATGAAAAACATAGAGAATAATAATGACATTGGTTATCAAAAAATAATTTGCATAGTAATTATTAAGGAAGAAAAAAGTAAAGAGATTTTTATATCACCTCTTTTGGTACCGTAAGTTGTGTGCTTTTATGAAAACACAAATTCCCAGAGAATTTGTTTCTGGCACATTATTTGCTTGAGTTCACATGTGATATTCTCTTATTGCAGTTTATGTTCAGGCCTTATTTGCTTTTTATTGTGATGTGAAGGTGAAGGATGACAGGATAATTCTTGACAAGACAGTTGGTGATCAAGTTTCTATCTGGAAAAGCAGTCGGGGCCTGACTGATAACATGATTACTGACCATGCTTGTTCTGGAGAAACGTGTAGTTACCACCAAATTGGCAATGTATTTGTCTGTGAGAAGACTGGCTATGTTCATGGTAGGAAACACTCTGTTAACAGCATCGACCGTTTTCATCTGCATGCATGATAATGCTTACTACTTACTTTTGGAGATTTTAATGTTTCAATTTTGTCTTCCCTTTGCTCCAGTCTGTGATGATACATGCAGAGAGGTCATTTTGGACCCCAACGATTTGCTTATGGTCTGTAAAATTTCTGGGCGCTGTTTTGAAAATTTGATGTCACAAGCTGAAACAGAGTCAGATTCTGTGAGTATAAGTTTTCTGCATCTTCATTTGTTTGCTAGAATTTTGAACCATGAAAGACTAAATGGGGATAAGTTCACTGTGTGAACTAAATTTTAATTAGTTAATCTGGCTCCTACACTGTTGCTCAGGACTCGTAATTTACCTATGGATAATACCTTTTTCTGAAGTTCTCTGGGCACATAACATTCTGGGATAAACAAAGCCTGAATATATGGGCTTTCTCTGACCTGTAAATAGAGCAAAAATCCATATTGGTGCTACACTTTTTTAGGGGCATAATTTGAATGGGGAATGTTGGTTTTTCCAAGTTGTGTGAAGATGTACGTGCATGTATAGAGAGCTGCTTTTGGAAATTTATAAGAACAGTGAGAAGACATGCTTATTCTTGTCTTGAATGCCCAATATGATGGTTTTCCTCCTTGGTTCAGTCTCTCCTCTAAATAAATTTATGTGCAACATGCTAAACATGCACTTCTGCCTGGCCATCAAAAGAGGAGGAAAAAAAAAAAAAAATACTCTTTCGGCTTTATAGCATTTATGTCATCATGCATCTACTGCAAACACTTATAGGACCCAATTTAATGATCATCCATTACATAGGTTAGATTAGTGGTGTTTTTTATCCTGTAATTTTCTCTGATTTATTCCCCTAAATTTTCTGTCAAATTTTAGGAACAAGGTGGTGTGGCAGATGAAGCAGAGCCTTTCATGGGATCTGGCCGATTTGGTAGTAGAAGTTACTCCTATCTTGTTATCTTATAGTTTTTTTCCTTGATTTAGCGTCCTTTTTTTTTTGGTAAATATTGCTATACATCTCATTTTCTGATGTATGTATGCCAGCTCGAGCTTATACATTGGGATACAATTGTGATGATGAGAAAGAGCTGGAAGCTGCTTTGAGGTTTTGCCCGATTTAAATTACAGTTTCCTTGGGGATGTATGTATTGATCTGGTATTATAGAGCTGGTGACAAATTTCACACAACTACCTTGTTAAATATTTAAGCTTTCTCACTTTTACCGGTTGTAAGAATTAATTACTTAGTGTTAGGTAACTTAAATTATGTTTCATGTTGATCTATCTCTTCTTTTTATAGCCATTTTATATAAAAATTGCTCCCATACAAACCCTCCGGTTGGCTTGCTCTTAGCTGGCAAGACTCTCAGAAAACCTGGGATCTTGTGGAGTATGGGATGTGGCTAACTTTGTTAGGTAAATAAAATGTAACTCGTCGGCGTCGGTATTCTAGGCCAGATCTCATCGATGCCAGCGTCGAAAACCCTCCCCATCACCAAGGAATTACTCCCCTTTTCCTCTCGCCTAAAACCCATCTCACCCCACGCCTGTTAGCCTCGTTAATCGTCAGAAAAATCTCATTGTTGCTGTTGCCAGTTTTGTTCGATTTTCGGTTGATTTACTCACCGGAAATCAACTCTGTTACTACCATTGCAGTCACCGGCAATTTATATTCAAAAGCTCTAACATTTCGGCCGTCAATTGTTCGTTGATCATCCTCCCGAATCCTAGAGTTTTGGGTGAATAGGAAAAATATAAAGTTGACCCGTTGAAGCTTTCGGGTCTCGGTTGAACCGGCCGGGCCAGGCCGGGCCAGGCTGGGTTTTAAAACAATGCCCAAGAATGCATGGATGGGTTTAGTATTTATTTAGCACCTTGAGAAACAGTTAAGACTTGCCTCACATGGAAACCAAAAGATGAACCTAGCATTGGAGTCTTGTTTTTAAGTTGAGTATATGAGAGCATATTATCATGTAATCGTGATCGTTGGTCGGTATCAGAAGTTTTGTTGTTGCAAAAGATTTTCGTTCTTGAGCTATACTATAGGTATAGGGTTCATCTTGTGCAAGTTTTCATTATCATTATTGTGGCCGGGAATCATTTGTGGGTTGTCATAAAAATGAAGTAATAAGACTGCACAAAAATTTGACATCTAATTAAAAGTTGGAAACCAAACCATGCGTATTTTAAGAATCCATTCGTCGGTTTGTTTTTCAGAAAATGAATAAATAAAATCTTCATTAATGAAAGGTGAATGTAAATGAAGCCAATTGGGAGATAAGAGGCTTATACTTCCATTACCATGACTTTTTCATCCCTGTCATAAAGAATGCAAAGGGAAGATACACATAGGATGATTTTACCATTTTACATTAATTTCAATCTAAGCATAGTAAACTTTCTGATCGGAAGTCTCGGACAAGGCCCTGCTGAACAAATAAACCAAGGAATAGCTCTACTTGAGGCCAACTTGCACGCGTCCTCGTCGGCGCCACTCTGCATCTTCAGACCCTTCATTTACGCTTTAAACCTACACCTGGAACCCTATTATCCCATTATATATAATCACTATATAGATATCCATGTTGCATGCATAAGCTTCTTCTCTCTTTAACTCTTTCACATTAATTCACGCATTTCATTCGGTATATCTCTTTGTTTATTCTCTAGTTTATCATAAAAATGTTTAATCATTTCCGTCCTAATGATCACTGATATTATTGTACAAACAGTTATTTGGTGATCAGAAGAAGATGGAAGGCGATGGTAATAAGCCGGATCAGACTGATAGGTCGTTGTTTCATCATGGACCTGGTCATGGCGCTCCTGCTCCAGGATATGGTGCCCCTGCTTATGGTGCTCCCGGTGGATATGCTCATCATCCAGGGCAGTACTCACCTGCGCCGGGAGCTTATCCACCTGCTGCTGTACCTCCACAAGGTTATCCACCAGCAGGCTATCCTCCTGCTGGCTACCCACCAGGTATACCATTTGCATTGCATGTTTAATTTATATGAATATTAATTTGCAGATGATGAGATAGATATATGCATGGGGTGGTGATGAATGAATGCAGGTCCAGCTGGTACAGGTGAGGCGGCGGCAGGAGCAGCTACGTATGGGCATGCAGGGTACGGTCACCATGGGAACCATGGAAAGTTCGAACATGGTAAGCATGGACCTGGTCATGGAGCTGGCCACGGGCCTGGGCATGGAATGCACCATGGAGGGAAGTTCAAGAAGCACAAGTGAATGTGAAAGAAAGCTAGTGTTGGTCATGGATCTTATTAATTAAATCAACAATGGAAGACGTTAAGTTGGTGATGTCTGGTAGAATTTGATTATGATTTATATTTTATAAATATGGATGTATGTGCCTTCTGGCAATTATTGTACAGAACAGAAAAGATGAGACGGATTTGGAAGAAGAAGTTGAGAAGTAATTTCTCTCCAAATACATGTCCTGGGGATGTTAATCCATATCAGCTGTCTTAGTTGGTATTCCAGTTTTATTAATTAAAATTATATTACTGTTTCATTTATCCTCCTTTTCCCGCAGAATTAATTATTATATTACTTACACTCAACCCAAGTACTCATTTAAAGACTGATAATATTCAACAAATAAATTATGTAATTGATCAGAACAATCTTGTGAAATAGATTGTGTTAACAGTAGTAGTTTAATGGTTGTGTGGAAATGGTGATGGTGATGAGGCCTTATTATTTCAGGTCAAATTTACACTTAAAAAACTTGTTTGATAGCTCCATATTATATTATTAGTAACACTAGTCTTACAAAGAACCATACAAAGAGACAATCACTACTTTTAAAATTCAAGATTGCCTTTCTCTCTCTCTCTCTCTCTCTCTCTTTTTCTCTTCTTTTAATGGTAGAGATTATTTTTTTGTATAGCTCTTTGTATGTCTCTTTGTAAGGTTAGTGTTACTCTTATACTATTACAAGTTAACGGCATGTTCCCACCCAGAAAATAGCCCATTAACAAATTCATACCCACCCACATTTTAAATACCATTTCAGTACTCAACATAATTTTATTAGTAATTTTTGTTGTCAAGAAGGGCAAAATGATCAAAAGCAGATAATTAATGAGGGCAGAATGGTCACCAAATAGTGGCTACCGGAGAAGAAGAACGGTGCACGTTAGGAGAAGAAGAACGGTGCACATTAGCAGAAGATGACGCACGTTGGCGACGTCAAATCCGGTAGGTTTTTGACATTTTCTGGCTGATCCTAACGTTCAAAATCACTTATGACACCACCTAGAGAATCCCCATCACCTCCTTTACAAAGCCTAAGCCTCCATTTGCCGTCATCGCTCACCATTTCCCACCACCACCTCCATTCACAAGGCCGACTCTTCAAGTCGGATTTCTGATCGATTTCTTTGCTAGAAATTCACCCAAACGCCACCATCACATTCCCCACAACCCACTCAACAAAACACTTACCTCCATCATCATCCCTTTCTTGCTGATCGCTGGTTGTGAACCGCATGACCTTTCAACTTCCAAGCCAATTTCTAGTTGTTTTCGATGTCGAAAATTATCTCTGCCACCACCAATCAACTCCTTGAATCTTCCTCTCCAAAAGCCCCTAATCCCGTTTGCTCACTGATCGTCGATGATTGAAGCTTTCCCACCTTAGGGTTTTTTGAGTTTTAATTGGATTAATTGGGTTTGATTCGTAGAATTTTTGTGTTTGTTGAGTTGAAATACAATTGAGGAATGTTTGTTTGTTGATTTTTTGGTCGTCGACACTCCCCAACGTCGATGACAATTACCAGCAATGGAAAAAACTGAGAAAAGAAGAAAGAAGAGAGGGGATTTTTAGTAAATCACTTTGTTTCCCACCCAAATCGAAGAATAACCTAATATTTTGATAATAAAAGGGTGTTTCAAAAGTTTGAGGGTGAGAAAATGTCAATGGCCATCTTTTGGGTGGTAACATGTCGTTAACTCTATTATTACATTCAATTTAAGAAGATGAATGTTAGGTGATGATTAGAATGGCAGAAGAATTTTCAGAGAACAAAAATTGGTATCTGCATGCTCACTCTACTATTACAATGCAATCGTAAAATAAAAAGATTATTTAGGATAATATATATTTCTGAATTTCCTTTCAATGTATATCATAGAAAATATTGAACCTATTAAAAAATTTAATAAAAGTAATAGAAATATTTATAAAGAGAAATTGAAGTTGAGGCTGAGTGTGTCTGTTGTAGGCTTGGAGGCCAAGTATTTGGCCCATATGTAGATCCAGCGGAAAATCAAACCGACTCGGATCCGATTTAACTCCAAAACAAAACCCTAAAACAAAGTTAGCGTGATTCTACCATCCACACACTCACAGAGAAAGAGAGAGCGTTCCCGGCACACGTCCTCTCTCTTCCATTACAAAGGTAATCTGTAATTCCAATCTGAATTTTTTTTTTTCTTTTTAGTCTTCAAATTCTGCCGATTCTTTTTTTTTTTTTTTTTTTTTAATTTGATCAGAGGTTGGTTTGATTGAAACAGAAGAAAAAGAAGAAGAAGAAAGTTTATCTGAAGCGACGAGATGTCGGACCGGTTGACGCGTATAGCTATAGTCAGCTCTGACAGATGCAAGCCCAAAAAGTGTCGTCAGGAATGCAAAAAGAGCTGCCCCGTTGTTAAAACCGGTCTCTTTCTATCGATCCCTTTCCTTTTTCTATTCTACTTATCTGGATTTTAGAGATTTGCTCATTAAACTTTATAATTTTGATTGCATCATTGATAATCATCCATGCGTTGCCTCATGATTACACTTAATTGAGACGCATGTGGGTTTAATTTGACTGGCTTCTGCTTGTAATTTGTGTACATGATCAGCTAATTCATTCATTGAATGATCTCTGATTGAGAAAGTTGTTTTTTCCTGGCTTGCTGAGTGGGAACTTTCATTTCATTTTAAATTTTTTTTAATCGGTTTTTTGGTTGTGTTAAATTATTTTGTAATCATTCATGGTAGATATTTGATGGCAATTTTGTGCATATTGTTGTCTTACAATGCTGCTAATATGTATGCATATTTCTTTCTCTTACCCTTTCTCGTTGTAAATCTGCAGGGAATTTGTGTATTGAGGTTACTTCTGCCTCTAAGATTGCCTTTATCTCTGAGGAGTTGTGCATTGGATGTGGTATCTGTGTTAAGGTTTGTATATTGCATTTCGTGTTTTCCTTTGTATTTCCCTTGGTGTTCATGGAGCTGATGGGTTATTTCATATGCTGATGCAGAAATGTCCATTTGAAGCAATCCAGATCATCAACCTGCCGAAGGATTTGGATAGAGATACAACTCATCGTTATGGCCCCAACACTTTTAAATTACACAGGTTAGGTTTTGACTGTTCTTTCCCGGACAGAGCCAGATTTCCTTTTGTTTATTTTGAGATAGTTGGGTTATTGTTGCAGGTTACCAGTTCCAAGGCCTGGGCAAGTGCTTGGTTTGGTTGGAACCAATGGTATTGGGAAATCAACTGCCCTCAAGATTTTGGCTGGAAAACTGAAACCAAATTTGGGTCGTTTTAACGTAATACACTAAATCATCTTATTCATAAATTTTTTATGGTCGATGCATGTTATTGACATTGTAGATTTTTTCTTTTTTTGGCAGAATCCTCCAGATTGGCAGGAGATTTTGACCTATTTTCGGGGATCTGAGTTGCAGAATTATTTTACTCGAATTTTGGAAGATAATTTGAAGGTACCTTTTCTTTTTCCTACGTTTTAGGTGGTTATGACTTTTTTAATTGATTAAGTGGTTATATTATGTGGAGTAGTGTGTCTTGATACCAAGGATTTATTTGAGTTACTATGCTACAGTCAAATTGATTAGGTATCCATATCCATACGAATTCCTTGTATAAGTTGTGTGCCTTTTTCCATAGTCAAGGTGGTATTGTGTTTTCTCCCTGTGGTTGAATAACCCAGATTTGACAAACCTGAGAATAAAGATAAAATGCTTATAATACCCACAAGATAAAAAACATCCAGATCATTGTGGTTTAGTTTACCTACTTATTTTTGTTTTTGTTCAAGCTGAATTAGGAAGTTGTGTATGAGTTTTGTTGTTTGCCACTATTTGGTAACTTTGGATATTATAGTTACGTGTTTATTGCTTTTGTATCATCTCACAAAAGATACGTTTTTTGTTTTATAGGCTATTATAAAGCCTCAATATGTTGATCACATTCCAAAAGCTGTTCAAGGCAATGTAGGGCAGGTGCTTGACCAAAAAGATGAGAGAGATATGAAGGAGGAACTCTGTGCAGATCTTCAGCTAAATCAAGTCATAGATCGTAATGTTGGGGATTTGTCAGGTGGAGAGCTACAGAGATTCGCCATTGCTGTTGTTGCCGTACAAAATGCAGAGATCTATATGTTTGATGAACCTTCTAGTTATCTTGATGTTAAACAGAGGCTTAAAGCTGCCCAAGTTGTTCGATCCTTGCTCAGACCTAATAGGTTTTTTTCTCACATCTCTTATTGTTTCATTCTTCGGAAGTTTTTAGTGTCTGAGAGATTTATGTGAGATTGATTATTGTATTTGCACTTTGTTTCAGCTATGTTATTGTCGTAGAGCATGATCTTAGTGTCCTGGATTACCTATCAGATTTCATTTGTTGCTTATATGGGAAACCTGGTGCATATGGAGTTGTAACCCTTCCCTTCTCTGTCAGAGAAGGAATAAATATTTTCTTGGCTGGATTTGTCCCTACCGAAAATCTACGTTTTCGTGATGAATCTTTAACCTTCAAGGTATCACAGTTATTTTTGTAGCTGTACTGCTTCTCAGATTTAGATGTTCTGTCATTTACTTGTTTGCTTTTTCTAGGTTGCTGAGACTCCGCAGGAAAGCGCTGAGGAAATTGAGACATATGCCCGATACAAATACCCCACAATGTCTAAAACTCAGGGAAATTTTAAGCTTCGTGTGGTCGAGGGTGAATTTACTGATTCTCAGATTATTGTAATGTTGGGTGAGAATGGAACAGGAAAGACAACCTTTATTCGTATGCTGGTACTGTTACATTTCCTTTATTTTTATTTCTTGTATTGGATGACTGTAAATTGTTATGAGTCATAGCCTCTTGAACAAATTGAGTAATCTACTTTTTGACTAAATATGTAGGCTGGGTTATTGAAACCTGATAACATAGAAGGTTCTGACGTGGAGATACCAGAGTTCAATGTCTCTTACAAACCTCAGAAGATCAGTCCAAAATTTCAGAATACAGTCAGACATCTGCTGCATTCAAAAATACGTGATTCATACACTCACCCTCAGTTTGTGTCAGATGTGATGAAGCCTCTACTTATTGAACAATTGATGGATCAAGAAGTTGTGAATCTCTCTGGTGGAGAATTGCAAAGGGTTGCATTATGCCTGTGCCTTGGAAAGGTAAATATTTTAACTTATTTAAATAGGGGGATTGAGGAAGGTAGAAGTGTCTGGTTGAGTGGTGTTGAAAAGTTTGTTTCCTCTGACAAACACACAAGGCAGTCTGTTGTGTTCTTTCTATACGAGCATAGGATATATGGGGAAGCAGTAGGGTGACGGGATGTTGTGCTTATTCGATATTTTTTTTTATTGTGCAAAGCATTCTTAATTTGACTTTTTTCTGCTCCAGAAAGTTCTGTGGGAAATTGTGACTATGGTCTGAGTCTATCTTCTCGTACTATATCTTTTATTGTCTTGTTTGTTTTTAAGGTTAGTGTGACTTGCTAGGATTATGTACACATGGCTCAATGATTTTGTAGGGATGTTTCTACATTCCTGAGCCTCTAGGTGTTTGAAAATTGTTATTTGAAGTTTCATTGTTTGTTACTAGTTTCCAATCTTCAGTAACTTCACTACGTTTATATAGAAAATTTCAACAGGGATTAATGTTTAAATTTGATTAGAAGCTTCTGTAAGGAAAACAAGTCAAGGGTAGCATTCTTATATAGAAATAATACTGAAGGGTCTAGTAATACTTTATGTTGACTGACAAATGTATGCTTATTTTTAACATATCTGTGTGGTCTAATGTATTGTTTGCTTTTCACATATCTGTGTGGTCTAATGTATTGTTTGCTTTTCGTGCAGCCTGCAGACATTTATCTGATTGATGAACCTAGTGCATATCTGGATTCTGAGCAGCGTATTGTTGCTTCAAAAGTTATTAAGAGGTTTATCCTGCATGCAAAGAAAACTGCATTTGTGGTTGAGCATGATTTTATAATGGCCACATATCTGGCAGATAGAGTTATTGTTTATGAGGGAAGGCCATCAGTGGACTGTATTGCAAATTCTCCTCAGTCATTGTTAACTGGAATGAATCTTTTCTTATCTGTGAGTTTCTCTAACTATTTTCCTTTGCCTTTATATTTTGCCTATGGTTATATTAAGCAAAAGAATATAGTTTGAAATATTGAGGATTATCACCATTTAATCTTAATTGTATTGTAATGGTTAGAACTTCTCCAGAATGGTCTTGGAATTGTGGTACTGAAATAGCTGAGAATAATAATTGAATCTCTGTACTCTCTCTTCTCTCTACACATGCGGAAGATGCAAGTACTCACTGTTTTGTTTAATTGCACTTTGTGTAGCATCTGGATATCACATTTAGGCGGGATCCAACAAATTTCAGACCAAGAATCAACAAATTGGATTCCACCAAGGATAGGGATCAAAAATCTGCTGGGTCATATTATTACCTGGATGATTAAAATAGTATCAACAGGTTCTTGTACTTGGTTGTCTGCCTTACTTGATTGTACTTTGATGAATGAGGCAGTATGAGATCAACTGTTGTTATGAATTCACTTGCAGTGGTGGAAAAGTTAAAAGCATCAATGTCAGCTTCATATTGGATCTCTGCTGAAGTGGGATCAGGATGGTGATACATTGCAGTTGAGAAGGTCCTTTGCCTGGTGAAAGATCAAGTTCAGTTTTTCCTTGGATGAGTTTTCAGGCCCATTCATTGATGCTGCCCTTTAGTACATTTGTGATTTGTGGTTTCTGTTTCACCAGTTTTGTTTATGGCATTGGCCGAGTGAGTCTGAATGTTTCTTGAAAAACCAGAGGAACGACAGTGATTCAAGACTGGAGTTATTGAGGCACATGCTGTCTTTTTTGTAATACTTTTTTTATAGTTAATATTTGACAAATCACCATCATAATTAATATTTTCGTAATTAAGAAAATAGTATACTACTGACTTGGAATTTCATTATATATTGGCTGGTTTTNCCTTGGATGAGTTTTCAGGCCCATTCATTGATGCTGCCCTTTAGTACATTTGTGATTTGTGGTTTCTGTTTCACCAGTTTTGTTTATGGCATTGGCCGAGTGAGTCTGAATGTTTCTTGAAAAACCAGAGGAACGACAGTGATTCGAGACTGGAGTTATTGAGGCACATGCCGTCTTTTTTGTATTACTTTTTTTATAGTTAATATTTGACAAATCACCATCATAATTAATATTTTCGTAATTAAGAAAATAGTATACTACTGACTTGGAATTTCATTATATATTGGCTGGTTTTTAAGTTAATCATTTGATATTTATGTATTGAGAAAAAGAAAAATCAATTGTGGATTGTAAAACAAACAAAAAATTACAGAGTTTGCTAGTATATCCGACTAACTTGTTTAACCAGCATCAATGAGACTGTAACCTGTTGTTTTTCTTAATTTTTTGACCTGAATTATTTCCCTTATCTCCACTGCATCTTTCCATAGTCCTGAAGCAACACACATATTCGCCAACGAAATGTAGTATCCTACATTTTTAGGCTCCAAATCAAAGAGAATTTTTGCTACCTTTTTCCCCATCTCTACGTCTCCATGATAGTTGCAAGCACTTAGCATGGCTCCCCAAACACCAGATTTAGGTTGGTTTGGCATATTCTTTATGAACTCGTATGCTTCATGGATTTTTCCTGATCGACCCAGCATTTCAACCATGTATACATGATGCTCAGTTACAGGTTCTACTTCATATTCCTGCATATTGTTGTAATACCATAGACCTTCATTCACCAGGCCTGTGTGACTGCAAGCTGATAATAGGCTGATGAATGTGCTTTTGGTTGGTTTCATTCCAGAGTTGCACATTTCACGAAACACTTCAATTGCTTTTCTACCTTTACTATGGTAACCATATGCAGAAATCATAGAATTCCATGCTGCATTTGATTTTTCCCTTGAATTTTCAAAGACTTTGCAAGCAATGTCCAATCTTCCACAATTGCTGTACATATCCAGAAGAGCTGCAGATATAAAAGAGTTCTCTTGAAAACACATGCGAGATACACGTCCATGAATTTCCCTTCCATGTCTTAGAACTCCAAGTTGAGTGCAAGCCGAGAGAATGCTAACAATTGTGATCTCATCGGGTTTGAACTCAAGAGAGCGAAACAATTCAAGCGCTCTTATTTCAGCCTTATTCTGAGAAAAAGCAGAGATCATGCAATTCCAAGAACATAGATTACGATTGGAACTCAAACTGAACACCAGTCTAGCACTCTCAATATCCCTGCATCTGCTATACATTGTGATTAATACATTCAGTACGCGGGTATCTGATCCCATCAAAGACTTAAGAGCAAGACCATGAAGAGATTTCCCTTGGGAGGCCAGCTCAAGCATTCCGCAAGCTAATATGACATTGACAAGGGTAACTGAATCATGGCTGATATTTCCTTGCTGCCTCATCGTGTTGAAAGTTTCAAAGGCTACTCGAAAATGGCGATTTCTCATGCAGGCAACAATTACAGTATTCCAACAAACAGTATCTCCTACAAGTGAAATTCTTTGCAGCAAAGCAAAAGCGGCCATCAAGTCTCCACAATTAATGTACATGTCCATGAGGGGATTAACTGCATTATTATTGTTTGAAAACCCCACCTTTAACTGCCAACAATGAATTGATCTACCAAACTCCAGGGATTCAAGGGAATTGCAAGAAGGAAGAATAGCAAATAGAGTTGACGTGCTGAACTGTGAAGAGAAATAGAGCATTTCCTTAAACAGGCTCTGAGCCTTTTTCGAATCTCCATTTTGGATATACCCAGAGATCATTGTGTTCCATGATACCAAATCTTTTACGGAAATGGTACTGAACAGCAGCTCGGCCTTCGCTACACAGCTGCATTTTGAGTAAAAGTTAATAAGGCTGTTCATCACAATTACATCATATCCCATTAGTCTACGCATTGCATATCCATGTACACTTCTTCCTTCTCTCAAAAGCATAAATTCAGCACAAAGCGACATTATAGTAACTACAGTAGCTACATCAGGTTGAACAGACCCCATCAACTGCATTTCATTCAGAAGATCAAATGCTTCTTTGATCTTTCCATTTGAAGTAAACCCATTAATGATTGCATTCCATGAAACAATATCCTTATGTTGCATATCCCGAAACACTGTCTCTGCAGCCTCAATATCTCCACACTGTGAATATAATGAAATGAGAGAATTGGCAACAGAAACATAAGAGCCTTCCTCATAACCCAACTTAATGACCCACCCATGAATAACTTGACCGTGAGTGAACACACCAAGACAGGCACATACTGCAATAGCAGACGACAAACTCACATAATCGGCACGTTCTCTAGAGCAACTCATTTCCTTAAAGTAGAACAAGGACTCCTCAGGATGATCATTACTAAGACAACCACTCATTATTGTATTCCAAGACACAATATCTCTACAATCCATCCCAGCAAACATACACTCTGAAGAATTCAGGTCACCACATTTTGCGTACATGTCCACAAGTGCATTGCAGAGACTAGAATCTGAAAGCATCCCACTCTTTATGCTTAAACTATGAAAAATCTTTCCTTGTTTCAAGGATTTCATGTGGGATAGTGTCGAAACCACAATCAAAAGAGTTGTGGAATCAAACCCAGGTCCCTCTTTAATCATCTCCACAAATAAATCCAATGCCATATTAAAACAACGATTCTCAGTACAGGCAGAGATCATAGCATTCCAAATGATCACATCCCTGTAACAAGTTTCATTAAACGAAACCCACGAAGAGCAAAAATCACCAGCTCTAGAGTAAGCTGTAAGCAGAGAGGTGGATATCGGCAAGTGGGGAAGAAAACCTAACTTGAGAGCTAAGCAATGGACAGTTATGACAGTTAAGATATAAGGTGTTGCATTGGAAGGTTTGAGAAGATGAAGAACAAAGTGAAAGTTGATGTCTTGATAATGTTGATTTCTTTGCGACATTTTATCAAACGCTTGATAAAAAGTGGAAATATGAGATGACTGAAGTGCGTATAAATTGTGAGTTTTGGAGATACGAGGATATGAATAGATGGGTGAAATGGGATTTTTGTGTTTGCTATGAACATTGTAAGAAAAGGAGTTAATAATCTCGCGGGTTCTGGTACGATATAAGGATGGTAAAGACAGTGATAAAGACTGTCTAAGCAATGTAATAATTAGCTGTGTAGAAATGCATGGATGTGAACGATGACCAAGTTTGTGCGTGTTTTTCGATACATAAAAGTGAAAATGGGTAAACATTACTCTCTACTTAGGTTGTGTCAGAATGCGAATTCATTATCCCTTAAAGAGTAGCACGTGAACGTCAAAGATTAAAGCCAAGCTGGGTGAAATATCACATGTTACTTTATGCTTATAGAATGATGCCTCAACTCTTCAAGTCACCGTGGACACTGGAAATGTGAAATAGCTTCTTAAGTTCAAGAAATTCTGGGTTGTAGTTGTAACCAAGAGTTCGCTTCAAGGTTCTAAAAGGAAAGCTTCCAAATGTATAAATGTGAATAAAAGTAGGAACCACAATAAAAAAATCTCTCTTCCATTACAAAGGTATCTGTAATTCCAATCTGAATTTTTTTTTTTTTCTTTTTAGTCTTCAAATTCTGCGATTCCTTTTTTTTTTTTTTTTTTTTTAATTTGATCAGAGTTGGTTTGATTGAAAAACAGAAGAAAAAGAAAAGAGAAAGTTTATCTGAAGCGACGAGATGTCGAACCGGTTGACGCGTATAGCTATAGTCAGCTCTGACAGATGCAAGCCCAAAAAGTGTCGTCAGGAATGCAAAAAGACTGCCCCGTTGTTAAACCGGTCTCTTTCTATCGTCCCTTTCCTTTTTCTATTCTACTTATCGGGATTTTAGAGATTTGCTCATTAAACTTTATAATTTTGATTGCATCATTGAATCACCATGCGTTGCCTCATGATTACACTTAATTGAGACGCATGTGGTTTAACTTGACTGCTTCTGCTTGTAATTTGCGTACATATCAGCTAATTCATTCATTGAATGATCTCTGATTGAGAAAGTTGTTTTTTCCTGGCTTGCTGAGTGGGAACTTTCATTTCATTTTAAATTTTTTTAATCGGTTTTTTGTTGTGTTAAATTATTTTGTAATCATTCATGGTAGATATTTAATGGCAATTTTGTGCATAGTTTGTCTTACATGCTGCTAATATGTATGCATTTTCTTTCTCTTACCCTTTCTCGTTGTAATCTGCAGGGAATTGTGTATTGAGGTTACTTCTGCCTCTAAGATTGCCTTTATCTCTGAGGAGTTGTGCATTGGATGTGGTATCTGTGTTAAGGTTTGTATATGCATTTTGTGTTTTCCTTTGTATTCCTGGAGTTCGTGGAGCTGGGGTTTTTCATATGTGATGCAGAAATGTCCATTTGAAGCAATCCAGATCATCAACCGGCCGAAGGATTTGGATAGAGATACAACTCATCGTATGGCCCCAACACTTTTATTACACGGTTAGTTTTTACTGTCTTTCGGGAGAGAGCCAGATTTCCTTTTGTTTATTGAGATAGTTGGGTTATTGTTGCAGGTTACCAGTTCCAAGGCCGGGCAAGTGCTTGGTTTGGTTGGAACCAATGGTATTGGGAAATCAACTGCCCTCAAGATTTTGGCTGGAAAACTGAAACCAAATTTGGGTTCGTTTTAACGTAATACACTAAATCATCTTATTCATAATTTTTTTATTGTGGATGCATGTTATGACATGTAGATTTTTTCTTTTTTTTTTTTGGCAGAATCCTCCAGATGGGCAGGAGATTTTGACCATTTTCGGGGATCTGGTTGCAGAATTATTTTACTCGAATTTGGAAGATAATTTGAGGTACCTTTTCTTTTTCCTACGTTTTAGGTGGTTATGACTTTTTTAATTGATTAAGTGGTTATATTATGTGGAGTATGTGTCTTGATACCAAGGATTTATTTGAGTTACTATGCTACAGTCCAATTGATTAGGTATCCATATCCTCCGAATTCCTTGTATAAGTTGTGTGCCTTTTTCCATAGTCAGGTGGTATTGTTTTTTCTCCCTTGGTTGAATAACCCAGATTTGCCCAACCTGAGAATAAAGATAAATGCTTATATACCCACGATAAAAAACATCCAGATCATTGTGGTTTAGTTTACCTACTTTTTTGTTTTTGTTCAAGCTGAATTAGGAAGTTGTGTATGAGTTTTGTTGTTTGCCACTATTTGGTAACTTTGGATATTATAGTTACGTGTTTATTGCTTTTGTATCATCTCACAAAAGATACGTTTTTTGTTTATAGGCTATTATAAGCCTCAATATGTTGATCACATTCCAAAAGCTGTTCAAGGCAATGTAGGGCAGGTGCTACCAAAAAGATGAGAGAGATATGAGGAGGAACTCTGTGCAGATCTTCAGCTAAATCAAGTCATAGATCGTAATGTTGGGGTTGGTCAGGTGGAGAGCTACAGAGATTCGCCATTGCTGTTGTTGCCGTACAAAATGCAGAGATCTATATGTTTGATGAACCTTCTAGTTATCTTGATGTTAAACAGAGGCTTAAAGCTGCCCAATTTGTTCGATCCTTGCTCACCTAATAGGTTTTTTTCTCACATCTCTTATTGTTTCATTCTTCGGAAGTTTTTAGTGTCTGAGAATTTATGTGAGTTGATTATTGTATTTGCCTGTTGTTTCAGCTATGTTATTGTCGTAGAGCATGATCTTGTGTCCTGGATTACCTATCAGATTTCATTTGTTGCTTATATGGGAAACCTGGTGCATACGGAGTTGTAACCCTTCCCTTCTCTGTCAGAGAGAAAATATTTTCTTGGCTGGATTTGTCCCTACCGAAAATCTACGTTTTCGTGATGAATCTTTAACCTTCAAGGTATCACAGTTATTTTTGTAGCTGTACTGCTCCTCAGATTTAGATGTTCTGTCATTTACTTGTTTGCTTTTTCTAGGTTGCTGAGACTCCGCAGGAAAGCGCTGAGGAAATTGAGACATATGCCCGATACAAATACCCCACAATGTCTAAAACTCAGGGAAATTTTAAGCTTCGTGTGGTCAGGGTGAATTTACTGATTCTCAATTATTGTAATGTTGGGTGAGAATGAACAGAAAGACAACCTTTTTCGTATGCTGGTATGTTACATTTCCTTTATTTTTATTTCTTGTATTGGATGACTGTAATTGTTATGAGTCTAGCCTCTTGAACAATTGAGAATCTACTTTTTGCTAATATGTAGGCGGTTATTGAAACCTGATAACAGAAGGTTCTGACGTGGAGACCAGAGTTCAATGTCTCTTACAAACCTCAGAAGATCATCCGAAATTTCAGAATACAGTCAACATCTGCTGCATTCAAAAATACGTGATTATACACTCACCCTCAGTTTGTGTCAGATGTGATGAAGCCTCTACTTATTGAACAATTGATGGATCAAGAAGTTGTAAATCTCTCTGGTGGAGAATTGCAAAGGGTTGCATTATGCCTGTGCCTTGGAAAGGTAATTTTTTTTAACTTATTTAAATAGGGGATTAGGAAGGTAGAATGTCTGGTTGAGTGGTGTTGAAAAGTTTGTTTCCCTCTGACAAACACATAAGGTAGGCTGTTGTGTTCTTTCTATACGCATAGGATATATGGGGAAGCAGTAGGGTGAGGGATGTTGTGCTTATTCGATATTTGTCATTAATGGGCAAAGCTTCTATTCTATTTGACTTTTTTCTGCTCCAGAAAGTTCAGTGGGAAATTGTGACTATGTCTGAGTCTATCTTCTCGTACTACATCTTTTATTGTCTTGTTTGTTTTTAAGGTTGTGTGACTTGCTAGGATTATGTACACATGGCTCAATGATTTTGTAGGGATGTTTCTACATTCGCCTCTAGGTGTTTGAAATTGTATTTGAAGTTTCATTGTTTGTTACTATTTCCATCTTCAGTAACTTCACTACGTTATATAGAAAATTTCAACGGATTAATGTTTAAATTTGATTAGAAGCTTCTGTAAGGAAAACAAGTCAAGGGTAGCATTCTTATATAGAAATAATACTGAAGGGTCTATTAATACTTTATGTTGACTGACAAATGTGTGCTTATTTTTAACATATCTGTGGTCTAATGTATTGTTTGCTTTTTGTGCAGCCTGCAGACATTATCTGATTGATGAACCTAGTGCATACTGGATTCTGAGCAGCGTATTGTTGCTTCAAAAGTATTAAGAGTTTACCTGCATGCAAGAAAACTGCATTTGTGGTTGAGCATGATTTTATATGGCCACATATCTGGCAGATAAGTTATTGTTTATGAGGAAGGCCATCATGGAACTGTATTGCAAATTCTCCTCAGTCATTGTTAACTGGAATGAATCTTTTCTTATCTGTGTTTCTCAAACTATTTTCCTTTGCCTTTATATTTTGCCTAGGGTTATTAAACAAAAAATATAGTTTGAAATATTGAGGATTATCACCATTTAATCTTAATTGTATGGTAATGGTTAGAACTTCTCCAGAATGGTCTTGGAATTGTGTACTGAAATACTGAGAATAATAATTGAATCTCTATACTCTCTCTTCTCTCACACATGCGGAGATGCAAGTACTCACTGTTTTTTTTATTGCACTTTGTGTAGCATCTGGATATCACATTTAGGCGGATCCAACAAATTTCAGACCAAGAATCACAAATTGGATTCCACCAAGAGGGTCAAAAACTGCTGGGTCATATTATTACCTATGATTAAATAGTATCAACAGGTTCTTGTACTTGGTTGTCTGCCTTACTTGATTGTACTTTGATATGAGGCACTGTGAGATCAACTGTTGTCAGTGGTGGAAAAGTTAAAAAGCATCAATGTCAGCTTCATATTGGATCTCTGCTGAAGTGGGATCAGGATGTGATACATTGCGTTGAAGGTCCTTTGCCTGTGAAAGATCAAGTTCAGTTTTTTCCTTGGATGAGTTTTCAGGCCCATTCATTGATGCTGCCCTTTAGTACATTTGTGATTGTGGTTTCTGTTTCACCAGTTTTGTTTATGGCATTGGCCGAGTGAGTCTGAATTTTTTTTGAAAAACCAGAGGAACGACAGTGATTCAGACTGGAGTTATTGAGGCACATCGTCTTTTTTGTATACTTTTTTTATAGTTAATATTTGACAAATCACCATCATAATTAATATTTCGTAATTAGAAAATAGTATACTACTATCTTGGAATTTCATTATATATTGGCTGTTTTAGTTTCATTGATTTATGTATTGAGAAAAAGAAAATCAATTGTGGATTGTAAAACAACAAAAAATTACAGATTTTGCTAATACGACAACTTGTTTAACCAGCATCAATGAGACTGTAACCTGTTGTTTTTCTTAATTTTTTGACCTGAATTATTTCCCTTATCTCCACTGCATCTTTCCATATCCTGAAGCAACACACATTTTGCCAACGAAATGTAGTATCCTACATTTTTAGGCTCCAACTCGAAGAGATTTGCAACCTTTTTCCCCATCTCTACGTCTCCATGATAGTTGCAAGCATAGCATGGCTCCCCAAACACCAGATTTAGGTTGGTTTGGCATATTCTTTATGAACTCGTAGGCTTCAGGATTTTCCTGATCGCCCCAGCATTTCAACCATGTATACATGATGCTCGTTACAGGTTCTACTTCATATTCCTGCATATTGTTGTAATACCATAGCCTTCATTCACCAGGCCGTGTACTGCAGCTGATAATAGCTGATGAATGTGCTTTTGGTTGGTTCTTTCCGGAGTTGCACATTTCACGAAACACTTCAATTGCTTTTCTACCTTTACTATGGTAACCATATGCAGAAATCATAGAATTCCATGCTGCATTTGATTTTTCCCTTGATTTTCAAAGATTTGCAAGCAATGTCCAATCTTCCACAATTGCTGTACATATCCAGAAGAGCTGCAGATATAAAAGAGTTCTCTTGAAACACATGCGAGATACACGTCCATGAATTTCCCTTCCATGTCTTAGAACCCCAAGTTGATCATACCCAAAACATAATTTTATTAGTAATTTTTGTTGTCAAGAAGGGTAAAATAGTCAAAAGCCCATAATTAATGAGGGCAAAATGGTCACCAAACAATGGCTATCGGAGAAGAAGAATGGTGCACGTTAGCAACGTTAGATTCGGTGGGTTTTTGCCATTTTCTGGCCAATCTTGGCATTCAAAATCACTTTCGACACGACCCAAAGAATCCCCATAACCTCCTCTACAAAGCCCAAGTCTCCATTTGCCATCATCACTCACCATTTCCCACAACCACCTCCATTTGCACAACTGACTCTTCAAGTCGGATTTCCGATCGATTTTTTTGCCAGAAATTCACCCAATCTTTGCCAGAAATTAACCCAAACACCACCATCACACTCCCCACAACCCACTCTGCAAACCCTTACCTCCATCACCATCCCTTTCTTGCCAATTGTCGGCTATGAATCGCACGTCCTTTCAACTTCCAAGCCAATTTTTGGTTGTTTTCGATGTCAAAAATCGTCCCTGCTACCACCAATCAACTCCTTGCATCTTCCTCTTCAAAAGCCCCAATATTCCCGATCCTGTTTGCTCACCAATCGCCAGTGATTGAAGCTTCCCCACCTTAGGGTTTTTGGAGTTTTAATTGGATTAATTGGGTTTGATTCACACCATTTTTGTGTTTGTTGGGTTGAAATACAATTGAGGATTGTTTGTTTGTTGATTTTCTGGTTATCGACATTGCCCAACACTGGCGGCAATTGCCGGCAATGGAAAAGGCTGAGAAGAGAATAAAGAAGAGAAGGGGTTTTTTTAGTAAATCACCTTTTGTTTCCCACCCAAATTAGAGGATAACCTAATATTTGGTTATTAAAGGGTGTCTTAAAAGTTTGAGGGTGAGACCATTTTTTTGGGTGGTAACATGTCGTTAACTCTGTTATTACATTCAATTTAAGAAGATGAATGTTAGGTGTTGATTAGAATGCCAGAAGAATTTTCAGAGAACAAAAGTTGGTCTCTCATGCCTCATGCTCACTCTAATATTACACTGCAATCATAAAATAAGAAGATTATTTAGTATATATATATTGGAAATTTCCTTTCAATGTATATCATAGAAAATATTGAACCTATTAAAAAATTTAATAAAAGTAATAGAAATATTTGTATAAAGAAATTGAAGTTGAGGCAGACTGCGTGTGTTTTAGGCTTAGAGGCCAAGTATTTGGCCCATATGTAGATCCAGCGGAAAACCAAACCGACTCGGATCCGATTTAACTCCAAAACAAAACCCTAAAACAAAGTTAGCGTGATTCTACCATCCACACACTCACAGAGAAAGAGAGAGCGTTCCCGGCACACGTCTCGCTCGTCCATTACAAAGGTAATCTGTAATCCAATCTGAATTTTTTTTTTTTCTTTTAGTCTTCAAATTCTGCCGATTCTTTTTTTTTTTTTTTTTTTAATTTATCAGAGGTTGGTTTGATTGAAAAGAAAAGAAGAAAAAGAAGAAGAAGAAAGTTTATCTGAAGCGACGAGATGTCGGACCGGTTGACGCGTATAGCTATAGTCAGCTCTGACAGATGCAAGCCCAAAAGTTGCGTCAGGAATGCAAAAAGAGCTGCCCCGTTGTTAAAACCGGCTCTTTCTATCGTCCCTTTCCTTTTTTCATTCTACTTATCTGGATTTTAGAGATTTGTCATTAAACTTTATAATTTGATTGCTCATTGATAATCATCCATGCGTTGCTCATGATACACTTAATTGAGACGCATGTGGGTTTAATTGCTGGCTTCTGCTTGTAATTTGCGTACATGATCAGCCAATTCATTATTGATGATCTCTGATTGAGAAAGTTGTTTTTTCCTGGTTGCTGAGTGGGAACTTTCATTTCATTTTAATTTTTTTAATGGTTTTTGGTTGTGTTAAATATTTTTGTAATCATTCATGGTAGAATTGATGGCAATTTTGTGCATATTGTTGTCTTACAATGCTGCTAATATGTATGCATATTCTTTCTCTTACCTTTCTCGTTGTAAATCTGCAGGGAAGTTGGTATTGAGGTTACTTCTGCCTCTAAGATTGCCTTTATCTGAGGAGTTGTGCATTGGATGTGGTATCTGTGTTAAGGTTTGTATATCGATTTTGTGTTTTCCTTTGTATTTCCTTGGGTTCGTGAGCTGAGGGTTTTTCATATGTGATGCAGAAATGTCCATTTGAAGCAATCCAGATCATCAACCTGCCGAAGGATTTGGATAGGATACAACTCATCGTATGGCCCCAACACTTTTAAATTACACAGGTTAGTTTTTTACTGATCTTCCGGAGAGAGCCAGATTTCCTTTTGTTTATTTTGAGATAGTTGGGTATTGTTGCAGGTTACCAGTTCCAAGGCCCGGGCAAGTGCTTGGTTTGGTTGGAACCAATGGTATTGGGAAATCAACTGCCCTCAAGATTTTGGCTGGAAAACTGAAACCAAATTTGGGTCGTTTTAACGTAATACACTAAATCATCTTATTCATAATTTTTTATTGTGGATGCATGTTATTGACATTGTAGATTTTTCTTTTTTTTTTTGGCGAATCTCCAGATTGGCAGGAGATTTTGACCTATTTTCGGGGATCTGAGTTGCAGATTATTTTACTGAATTTGGAAGATAATTTGAAGGTACCTTTTCTTTTTCCTACGTTTTAGGTGGTTATGACTTTTAATTGATTAAGTGGTTATTATGTGGAGTAGTGTGTCTGATACCAAGGATTTATTTGAGTACTATGCTACAGGCAAATTGATTAGGTATCCATATCCATACGATTCCTTGTATAAGTTGTGTGCCTTTTTCCATAGTCAAGGTTGGTAGTGTTTCTCCCTGTGTTGAATAACCCGATTTGCCCAGACCTGAGAATAAGATATAATGGTATATACCCACAAGATAAAAACATCCAGATCATGTGTTTTAGTTACCTACTGTTTTTGTTTTTGTTCAAGCTGAATTAGGAAGTTGTGTATGAGTTTTGTTGTTTGCCACTATTTGGTAACTTTGGATATATAGTTACGTGTTTATTGTTTTGTATCTCACAAAGAAGTTTTTTGTTTTATAGGCTATTATAAAGCCTCAATAGTTGATCACATTCCAAAAGCTGTTCAAGGCAATGTAGGGCAGGTGCGACCAAAAAGATGAGAGAGATATGAAGGAGGAACTCTGTGCAGATCTTCAGCTAATCAAGTCATAGATATGTAAGTTGGGGATTTGTCAGGTGGAGAGCTACAGAGATTCGCCATTGCTGTTGTTGCCGTACAAAATGCAGAGATCTATATGTTGATGAACCTTCGTTATCTGATGTAAACAGAGGCTTAAAGCTGCCCAAGTGTTGTCTTGCTCAGACTAATAGGTTTTTTTCTCAATCTCTTATGTTTCATTTCGGAAGTTTTAGTGTCTGAGAGATTTATGGAGATTGATTATTGATTGCACTTTGTTTCAGCTATGTTATTGTCGTAGAGCATGATTTGTGTCTGGATTACCTATCAGATTTCATTTGTGTTTTATATGGGAAACCTGGTGCATACGGAGTTGTAACCCTTCCCTTCTCTGTCAGAGAAGGAATAATATTTTCTGGCGGATTGTCCTACCGAAAATCTACGTTTTCGTGATGAATCTTTAACCTTCAAGGTATCACAGTTATTTTGTAGCTGTACTGCTCCTCAGATTAGATGTTCTGTCATTTACTTGTTTGTTTTTCTAGGTTGCTGAGACTCCGCAGGAAAGCGCTGAGGAAATTGAGACATATGCCCGATACAAATACCCCACAATGTCTAAAACTCAGGGAAATTTTAAGCTTCGTGTGGTCGAGGGTGAATTTACGATTCTCAGTTATTGTAATGTTGGGTGAGAATGGACAGGAAAGACAACCTTTATTCGTATGCTGGTACTGTTACA